TCTTTTTTTTTAATTGTACTTAGTAAAAATTTAAAATCTAACCCCTATTACTTTAATAAAAAGTTGTAGAGAATCAAAAATTAAATAATTTTATTATTATATTTTTTATAAATCATTAAGCAAAATTTAAACTTTACTTAGTAGTAACTAACTATTTTTTTTAAAAGACATATAAAATTTTAAGAACCTTTTTAAAATTTTAATAGTAAAATTAAAAAATTAGGTTTATTAAAAATGTAATTTCTTTGTCAAAATTAAATATAAAATAATAAAATTTAAATATAACAGATATCTTTAATTTTTATTAAAAAAATAAGGAGGGCAGGCTTAAATAAATTTTGAGAAAATTTAAAAAAACTTTTCAAAAATCATTTTGGCAGTCAAATTTGCCCACTAGACAGTTTAAGGAATATAGCATTTAATCAATATTTAATATTTGTATTTTAACAATAAAAATTGATAAATCTAATTATAATTATTATATATTACAGTACAGTTAGGCATATTCCCAATTTGGTCATCGATAATTTGCATCTTATTTAGAAATGATCAGCAGTCAGATGATTCTAGAATCTTATTCAAATTTAAAATATAATAAAAAAATAATAAAAGAACATTGATAAATCGCACTACTGGTATTTAATACCAGTATACTATGTAACATAAAAATCATCAAAATTAAAAAAATAAAAAATATATATATAATTTAATTTTTTATTTATTATTGTTATATCTTACTACGTACTGTGTTAATAATCCCAAATCAAATTATATACTATACTATAAATCCTAAATCTAACTACTACACTACTAATCTAAATATCATACTATAAATTCTAAATTTAACTACTATACTACTAAACTACTACTGTGCTACCTGTCCCGAATTCAACTCTACTATGCTGAATTCAACTCTACTATGCTACCTGTTCCAAATCCAACTTTACTGTGCTATGCTTATAAAACCTAACTTTACTATGCTATGATTAAAAAATCCAACTTTATCATACTACATTCAAAAAATCTATCTCTATCATACTATATCTAAAAAATTTAAATCTACAGTACTACATTTAAAAAATCTAACTCAACTATGTTATATCCAAAAAATCTAACTCTACCATGCTATATACAAATCTAACTACTGCACTACATCTAAAAAATCTAACTCTATTATGCTCTACCTGTCCTGAAGCTAACTCAACTATACTATAAGTCCTGAATCTAACTTTACTATGCTACGTCTAAAAGAATCTAACTCTACTATACTATGTTTAAAAAATCTAACTACCATACTATATCCAAGAAACCCACTATATAAAAGAGAGAAAAACTTTAGTACTAATGAAAAATGTTTAATAAACCAAAAAAAACATACCAATAAACAGTGATTCTACAAACAACACCCCAACAGTAATAACAAAGCTCACAAGTTTGCTTGCTCTAACTAGCAAATTTTGTATTAAAAAATCTCAATCTTCAGGTCTCACTTACTTTTTTTAGCTTAAGTTATAATTAGGAATTAATTGAGATGATCAAAAGTAGAGGTTTTATATTATTATTTCAAATATTGTTTGGTAACAAGTGTAAATAAAAATCTTATAAAACCTTTGAGAGAAAATATCATAAAAAAAACATAACAGAGCCAATCAAATTTCACTGAATTTTGTAGATCATTCTAGATCTTTGATCTCAAATGATCTCCAATTTGGAATATGCCCTGACTGCAGTATTAGAAAATAATAAAGTTCAATTACTAGATGCATATTGATATAAATATATTTATTGATTATTATCAAATTTAGTTAAACATCAATTTTTAATTACTTGTTTTGAATCAATAAATATCTTATGTAATTAAAATGTTATATATCTGATATCAATATATATCTAATATACACTTTATATTACTTTAGATATTCACTTTAAATATATACTTTAAATTAGAATATAAAACTGTTCAATAAATATTCATTTGTTTTGTTAAATCTTGAGACTATATGCATAGTTCTGTTTATACTCTCCAATAGTATACAAGTGTAGTGCTTGATTAGTTTCAATTTGGGACATCCCTATAACTCACTATATTCATCGTACTAGCAAACTAGTGCAAACTTAAGTGGCTCTTTATTTGCTTGATAAAACTTGAGTATTTATAGCACCTTGATAGACAATACTCATATTAGTTATACTACTCTAGAAGTTAGCTATAAATGAAAAAATATTGTCTAACTTTAAGAGTTATTTCACTTAATATTGTTATTAACTTATTTTTATTATTAGATGTTTATTATGAAACAGGTTAAAATATAAACAATAAATACCAAGCCATACCAACTTATTTCTTCATAATCGTTATCACCACTAACTATAATATTAGAAAACATTGCACTTCTATAAAATTTGAAGTAGCACAAATTATATTGGTACTTTTTAAAGAAGCAGATGAAAATATCTTCATATGATTATCTTTATAAAGAGATAAGACTGATTCCTTTTCGAAAAATTCATCAAGACTATTTAAAAGGTTTAAAAATCTTCGATGTGTAATAGGTCTATATTATCTTTATTTTTTTCAAGGAAATTATCTAATTCTTCTAAACTTAATACTCACAAAAATTTACCAAACTCTTTCACTTTATAGTATTTTTTTGAACTTTATTTTTAGTTAACTTTTGTCACTTAACGTATTAATAATGATTATTAGATTTACTGTGGTAATATTTATTTATTTTTAAAATAAATAACACTGCAAAAATAATATTACTAGTTATTAGCAATAAATACGATTATTTTAAAATTATAATATACTGTCTTTATAATTTGTTTAATATAGTCTTTTTTATTTGACATCTGATAAGAATTTTTTACATAATTCTTATGAAGAGTCTTATACGTCTCTGTAATAATACTGTTTATTGACACATATTCTTGAATTGCAGGTACTACATAATAGCACCAACTGTGAAGTTTTGGGAGTTAAAGACTACTTGCAGAATATTTTGAAAATATTTCAACAAATTTTTTGGCCCATTCATTAATGAAGACCTATAAGATAAATTGAATACGTATTACTTCACAGATACTTTTTTCATAGAAACAACACTTTACCGAAATCGCCATATAGTGTACAGAGTAAGATTGTTTGACCTTACATCAGCAATCAGATTAATACATGATTTTTAGTCATGTGATTTCCCATTCTTTAATTGGCTAAAGAGATCAGAGATATATATGTTATATATCTCTAGCTAGAGATGCCTAGAATTTCTCTTAATATTTATTTTGGTTTAAAGATTATGTAAAATTTGCAAATCAAAAAAAAATATTTTCTGATTCTGATTTCTGTATTTTTTTGCAGAAATATATTATTTTGTTACATATTTGATTTAGTATTTTTTGTAGGAATATAATTTACATATTCATCATGTAAAGAATTTGGTTGTGTATTATTAAATTTTGTTTCTTTTTAGCCTGATAAAATTTATTATTGCATAATGAGCAATAATAAAATTAAAAGTTGCACCAAATTTAATTTTATAAGAATTATTACATAATTCTAGAAAATCATTTTGTTTATTACTAAAAGAATCATGAAATTTCAAAGTTAAAGTATAAGGAACCTTATAATTTTTTTTTTTGTAGTGAATAGTTTTTTACAGTTACAATAAATTTTAGAAGTTGTACAAAAAAGACATTTTATGCATCTGAATCATGTTCTAGGATAATAATTTTTGGCAATTAGAAATGATTTTTTTTTAGAAAAAAATTATACTATTATTTATATACTGTATATATACGTATAGTATAATTTAGTTGATTACATAAGTCATAGAAGCAATGGTAAAGAAATCGGAAACCAAAAATCAGAAAACGTAAATTTAAATGCATCATTTTGTTTAACCTCAAATGAATTTTGAAATATGCAAGTGCGTTATCATATCTACCGTATTGACGCGTAATAACGCGCATCTACGCGTTATTTCGAGACCCTGCACGTTATTTTGGGACGCGCATACGCGGTAATTCGAATCATTTTGACAAATTTGGGTTACAAGAGGAAGCCCTACTTTTATTGCATGAAAAATTCGATCAAAATATGTAACATGGTACATTTGAGGGAGTGCGTTATTTTGGGACACACATGAGCGTTATTTGAGTCAAAAAAACAATTTTCAAAAAAACGAGTTTCGAAATAACGCCCATGTGCGTTATTACGCGCGCGCCAATACGGTATACATTTTGCGATAAGTTCCTTCTTGATATCTTAATGCAAATATGTCATTTCGGTTAATCTCTAATAATTTGTCCAAATATACAAGTGCTTCCTCATATTGTCTATTCAACAATATTGTTTAACACGATTTTGTAATGTAGGTTCATCATTCAGAGCACAAAATTTATTGTAAAAATACCAGATGCTCCGTTTAATTATGATGATTTCCGGCGTAGTTTTAAAGCCGCCGGAAATTTTATAAATATTGTATGATTTTCACAGGAGTTTCTATATTTCGTTTACCGAAAAAAAAAGCAGGTGCCCTGTTAATCATTTAGTTCAATTTATTTTATATTGTCCTTTTCTATTTGTAGTTAATGAATGCATAACGATAGGTTGTTGACATTTAGAAATAAATTAAATGTCACGCAAAGGTAGTGAATTTAAGTCATAAAAGGCAGGATGTTCATTTATCAAACTGATTTTAATGATTTTACCACTGTTATAACTGGAAATTATTTACAAAATTTATAATAATTACCCAATTTACTATGGCAGCTATCTTACTATATAATTATCTTTTATGAATACATTTTATTATTGGAAGCTAACTAAATATTATAATAAATAAAAAGCTAGATTCATTACTTAAGTTTTAATATGTTAATATTAGTATTTTGTTAAATTTCAATGATATAATATACAGATATATAGATGAAAATTATCTAGAAAAATTAACTAAATATTTCTGACGTCTTAAATACATGCATACACAAAACTCTATTTAAGGAATAACCTCTTCCTCATCTATTTCCTTATCTTTGTTTTTCTCATTTCTGATAAACACAGCCGACACTATTAATAACAACCCAAATGCAATTCCAGCCTTAAACGAGAGACTTAGAGACGATACAAGTAGTTTTTTCGTTGGTTTTTTAAGAAATTCTGGAAGCTGATGATACTCCTTAAGTAAGTCTGGAACAGAATCTGCTAATTTTATTTCGGTTGAAAAACCGGATGCAAATACAGCAGCTACAATCCCTAACCCGAATACAGCACCAACTTACAAAAATAATTACAGTATTAAAAAAAAAAGAATAAATAAATCAAAATATTAAAAATAAATAAGAGACTTACTAGTTCTGAAAAATGTTATCAAAGAAGTAACAGCTGCGACATCTTCATATTCTACGGAAGCTTGACCTGCCAGAAATACAGTTTGTACGACAGCACCAGCGCCCAATCCGCTAATTAATAAATAACCAATGACTTCACCAGAAGTTGAATTTATATCAAACAAACTTATCAATCCAATACCAACAGCTGTCAATATACCACCAACTATACAAATTACTTTATAGGAAATTATTGTTGTATGTGAAACTATAAATCCAGATAATAAAACTGTGATGACAGCACCCGCAATGTAAGGAAGAAGTTTAACACCAGCCATAGTAGCTATATATATAAAGAAATATAAGAATTTTCAAGAAAAATTTTGAGGAAATTCAACTATTAATTTTTTTAATAAAATAAATACCTGAATCTTCGTTGACAATTTCAAAATATACGGGTAGGAAATATATTATCGAAAAAAATATCATACCAAGGCAAAAATTAACTAAAAAGCAAGCAACTATACTACGATCCTTAAACAAATGTCCTATAAAAAAAAAAAAAATCTATATTAATATTTTTATTTGTAAATAAAGAACTTCATATTATATGTAATAAATTTTACCAGGTACAAGAGGTTCAGCCACAACATAGCCTTCCACATAGATAAATATAGTTAATAATACCACACCAACGACCAACAAACTTATAATAATGGGGGAATTCCATGGGTATGTAACCCCACCCCAACTAAGAGGTAACAGAAATGCCATCATTGTGCAGGTAATTAGCAGTGATCCCAACCAATCGATGCGTTTAAGCTTTTCGTAAAAAGAATCGGTAGTTCTTGACGATTTAAAAAAGAACATAATACAAATTATTGCTATAACTCCTATTGGTACATTAATATAAAATGCCCATCTAAAAAAAGTTTGTAGTCATAATTAGATACTATAAACACATAATCTTCAAGGAAAAAGTGTTATATACCTCCAACTCAAATTATTATTATCTGTGAATAATCCACCAATTACTGGGCTTATGATGGATGCGATAATGAAAACAGCACCGATATATCCTTGAAATTTACCACGATCTTTAACTGAAACAATGTCTGCAAGTATAATTAATACTATGCTACACGAATAAAGAGAAGCATCGTTTTAAGTGTTAGACATTTTCAATGAATACAAAGTTCTAGTAAATGATACATACCCAAATATACCACCACCACCTATTAAAATAAATGATAGCGAAAAAAGATTTTCGTTTGAGATCGTTTGAAAACGTTTAGAAACTTAAATATAAACATTGTTAATTTAATTTACCAAGGCCGGCTATCGATCGAGAAATTATTAACATATCCATGGTCGAAGATACACCACATAAGATGCTTCCCAATTCAAAAAGTAACATTGCTGCTAAAAATGTAATCTTACGACCAAAGATATCAGCTAGTTTTCCATAAGCTGGTTGAAAGGAAGTCTAAGACATTAATTTGATGTAAATATACAGTCATTAAATTATTATATGCAATAAATAACGATAATAGCATAAAAACTAATTGACTGATTACCGCGGTGAGTAAATAAGCAGTTCCGACCCACACAATTTTTTCAACAGATGCAAGGTCAATTACTATCTTTGGCAAAGCAGTCGTAACGATAGTTTGATCTAAAGCTGCCATGAACATGGCAAAACATAGACTTTATGCAAAAAGGGACAGTTAGATGTCTATCGAACACATGAAAGGTTATACTGTTTAAAAACTTACCCAAGAAAAACAAAGAAGAATTGAAGTTGAGTCAATTCCGTATATACTTGATCATCATCAATTTCACTCGCATTAGTTATTCCCTCATGCCCAGATTTTTCTTTAATGAATGTTAAACCATTCGTTTCTATATCATTTGATTCCAAAACTTGACTTGCGGAATTTTCGTTAAGTTTTATATCATTCTTTTCTAATTTATTAGATTCAAGATCTTGAGGCATCTTTTAATCTTGCAAAAAGCTGTCAAAATGGCTAAAACTGGTTTTAGACATTAGACATTAATTCACAATTAATTTATAGTTAATTTATAGTTAACGTTAATGTACACAACAATTATATGTTTTTCAATCCTACTTTAGTCTATATGGTTCGTTAATCCTAAAATGGTAATTTGTAAACATAATGAAAAGCCAATTGTAGAAGTAACTGGATTTGATCAATGACAATACCTGATATTGTACTACGTACTAGTACGTTAAAAATAGTACAGTACGGAACAGATAAAGATAACCAATTTTATACGTAATTAAGTTTTTTATAACTTTCTTAAAACGAGTTAAAATAAAAATTCCTCTTTCAAATTTATTGCTTTTGATGATCTAAATAGCAAATATGAAAGAGGAATTTTTAAAATTTTTAATTTTAGAAACGTTATAACAATTTGAAATATTTGGTTCTTTTATTGTAAAAATTTGGCGCCTTATATATTTTTAAAAAATTTATAAATAATTTCGAGCATTTTGATTGGTTAATATTTATAATATATATTTTATTATAGAAATTTGACGCTTTGAGAAAAAAATGGATATCTTACTGTCTTAAGCTGTCCCGCATTAGAATGACGAAGTCTTACATCAAGTCCGTAAAAACTTTTTTCAATTAAACTTTTCGAAACATCTTACACGAAGAAGAGCTTCTTATGTTGAATCATTTATGTCAAAATTTTAAACATGTTTTAGTTTCCGAAATGGTTTATTAATCACTCTATAAAGTCCAGGATTGTGGTTTTTTATAACTGACTCATAAAATACATTGAAGTTTTAAGGCAAATCTTTATTTGACAAAACTAGAATTAACTTCTATTTCAAGTTAAAATCACTCTGAAATTATCGTTATACGTTTAAAAAAATGATTAGTAATATTTCCCAAACGATCGAGGATTTACATAAATATTAATGACAAACGTAACGAAATATAATAATTCATTGTTTGTAGCTCTCCCACGATAGTATCATGAGGGCGTTCCTACATCCCTACTAACCAATTTATTACTTCACTAGCTTGCCTTTCTCGACTAGCGTATCGTTCTAGTATTGTGCTTTTATTTGTTCCTATACACCTATGGTGACAAAGTATCCACAGTTCGAATACCAACAACTTTTACACGACAAAAAGATCTTTATTCTAAATTGTCGCCTTACATATTTATTAGCATTAATACATGGGGGTGAGTCAACAGAAATTAAGTAAATTTTTTATAAAAAATTTTTAACTTTAAACAATAGTAACTTCACAAGGGCTTAACCAAATCAATAAATTAATTCTATAAATTTGTATTTATTTTATTTATTTAAAAATTTTTTATTAAACTTAGTTAAATTTTTCTTAACCCCACATACTGTATCCCCTTATACAATATATTGTGTCATTTATTAAATGCACCCGATTTGGTTAATTAATTCGATCAAGAACCCTGGTGATCGAATGACCACTCCACAACATGAATACAACATATACAATTAAAAGGTAGCATGGTGGACAATCCTTATGTGACTCAGTCCAAACTTTATTATCTCATATAAATTTTATTTCTAAATAATGATTATTTTTGATTAATTTTAATGAAATGTAGACTTTTGCGAGCTTTTCTTGCTACTTTTTTTTTAAATGTATTTAATTGATAGGTTTCGAAGATCACAAAAATAAAAAGTACTTCAACGCATATAAAAAATTAAAATTTATTCAATTGAGCTGATCATCACCAAACTTGGGGTTTGATATAAATATAATTGTTTATTATAGTATATCGATATTGTTTTTTTTTAGTATTAATTTCTTTTCTTGATACAAACATGTGGCAACGCATGATTACGCCAATGGTCGTTATCGTTATAGTGTATTTCGTAATACATAGCCGATGTTGCCATAACGATAACATTAACAGTTAACGTTAATACGTAGTGCATGTGGTGCAAGATGTGATAAACGTAATTTAACATTAAAGGAA